TGAATTCATAATTATTCCTTGAGGAACAGAACCAGAGAACAGGAATAGACACTGATGATAAATCAATCTGAAGAGGTGGCCCAGTGCCATATTATGGAGCCAAAATTACAGCTCTGTAATGATTGCAGCTCTGATTCCCAATGGGAAAAATGCTCAATGGCCAAGATGGGAAGAGGAGATGAATTCAGAGCATTCAGATATTCTCACCATTAGTTGGGAAAAACTGTTTAAGTACTTCTCTTGCCTGTATTATAGGGCTTTTTCCAGACTCACTCATGTAAATTTGACAAGGACTTCTTCAATTCAAGCATCTTCAACCTAATTATAACTAAAACAACAACAATAGCCCAATGGATGCAGCAAATTACCAACACTAATTTATGATCTTTAGGTCATTTTACATATCATTGCAGGAACAGAAATAATGGTGCTGGTGGGATGGAGAGGGAATAGGTGTGTTTTAACAAATTTAAAAACAACATGTTAAAAACAACAAAATGGGGCAAACAACAACAAAACAACATGAGCTACAACAGAATTACTGTGCTTCCCCACTCATCAAAAATGTAATGCTTTGCTAGGTACTCTACTTAAGGAGCAATGAACAGACGGCATCTTTTTTATTATATACCTTGGAGTTTTTAAAAAACAGAACAGAGGGAAATCACAGAAAAGCAATAGGTAGGCAATTACACTGTGTGGATTCTGGGTCATTAGGACTGAGCAATCAAGATGTTTCAGAAACCAACTGACCATAACTCTTCTATACATGAACATAGCAATCTTGTTAATAGGTCCACAGGAATTTCTAGACTTTCTGCAGAAATGTACTTACACTAGTGGTTTTGAGCCTGAAGGGGTAAGATCCAGTTTTTATTAAGATCTTCTAGCTCAATGATTCCTAAAGTGGATGGTATGTTCCCCCTCCGGTGGGGGAAGTGGAAAGAAACAAGGGGACAGTAAGAGTGAAACAGGGCAAGCAGGGGGGCAGTGAGGGGAAAAGGGGGCAGGTTGCTAGTAGTGGCAAGAAACCCTTGTGAGGCTTAGGCTCAGGATGTTGTTTCTGTGGCTTGGAGCTGTGCCATTTTGGGACAGACTGACTGATTGACTGGAGTAAGAAGTTAGAGCACATGGCAGTGGGGAAGAAGTGGCACCAAAAAGAGCTTTCAAGTTTGAGATCCTGCTTAGGCTTTGTGAGCTTTGTTGAGACTTGGCTGGCAGGTTGGAACTACACTCCTGCTTTATTTCATCGGACAGGCTGAGAAGAAGTAACAGAACAAACCATATTTGGGGAGGGGGGGACACTTGAGGCTGTGTGGAGAACACATGTCTCTGAGGAAGGAGAGGGAGGCGTATCTGAGGTTCACTCTTGGAAACAATCCTTTGCCTTGGAATGGCTCCTGTAGTTAAAATATTTCCCTTTCCCCATCCAAGCCTGTCTCTACTCCAGAGCATGTGACCTCTGTAAACCCCCTTTACATACACTGGTTGTGTCCCCTCTGCCCTGACGAAGGATTAAGAGTCCTTCCTTTCCAGGGAGAAGCTTCTCTCTTTGCACCTGGACACCTTGGGAGCAGCAACTGATCAGTTGGCTGAGCTACAACTGAGAAGCTTCCTCCATGTACTGGCCTTTTTTACAAGGTCAACGTGGTCAAGAGGCTTCTTGGTCAATGTTCAGCCAGCTGCACAGTTGCTGTTCTGAGGGAGACTAAGGGGGGAAGCAGACTGGTGGCACGGGGCCGCCCTGGGAAGGTGCGCTGCAGGATCAAGGCATCCCCATGGCTCGATCCTGCGGTGCTCCTTCCCTGTCCCTGAAAGGAGCGCTAAAATAGCGCTCCTTTCACAAGTCAGCAAAAATGAGCCTCAAAAGCGTGAGGCGCACTTTCACTGACTTTTCCACCCCAACGTGTCAGGACGCTGCGGCGGGAGGTTGCCCCCGGAGCACCGGCCGTGCAGAGGGCCAGCGGCTCCGAGGGCAACCTCGGGAGGAGGAAGGGGCGCCAAGCGTGCGGCTGCCCCTCCTCTTCCCTGCCTCAAGGACGGCTTAATAAGCCGTCTGCCGAGGCCCTAAGTGCAAAGAGAACAGTGACTTTGTAGCCAGCCAAGCAGCACTCAAAAGGCTTCTTGCCTGGCTGGCCTTTGCTGCAAAGCTGGCATGGGAGAGAGGCTTCTTGGTCTGCTTGGTTGCTGCTTTCAAAGTGACTGGGTGCAAAGGGAGCAGCAACCTAAGACTGGTTCTCTTAAATTTGCAGTAGAACAGCAGACCTAATATCAAGAAATTGGCATTGGGAACACTAGGGTTGCCATTGAAGAGGAAAGGGGGTACAGCCTGAAAAGGTTTGAGGACCACTATCCTAGCTCTTCTGAAAGCTCTTCTTATTCACTACAGGTAACTTGGGTCAACTCATTTGTCACTGCTGCTACCATTTTAACTCAGACCTCCTCATTATGGTGCCCTCTGTATACGTTCAACTATAGTTACTATCACCAGCCAATACTGTAATTGGCCATACTAGCTGGGCACAAATGGACTAGTAGCATGACATACCTACTATGGCAGGTCTATGGGTTTTCTAAGAGTATGGGTTTGGAGCTCATAACTTTTATCTGGTGCAACCTCCATTATCATTGAAGCACCCAAATCCCACAGACTTCTGACTCTGAAATCTATAACCAACTTGTCACTCTGGGATTGAGGTGTGAATGTGATTTTCAGTATCTTTGCCAGACATTTTGCATAGGAAGCATAGCCAGACAGTTTACAGTGAAAGTATTTATTTACAGTTGATAAGGAGATGACTATATACAGAAGCAGAACAGAGTTCCAGGAAACAGTTTCTTCCTCCTTAGGAGCTCACAGCAACACAGAGCTAAACTAGAACTTTCTCAATACTCACACACACCAACTGCAACTGCACTCTCCATGATTCCACAACTATAACCCACAATTGTTTACATTAGTCTCAGCCTTATATACTCTTGGCTGATGCAACTCTCCAGTACATGGCATAATGCATTATTTCATTCATGCCGAGTCATAGATCTACAGGTACAGGTACAAGTAAGTGTCTGACCACCTCAAGGACATTTATCACTAGATATCCTGGCCTTGTCACAATAACCACACACACATCATGATTGTGCAATTCTGCAGATAGAATAATAGAATCATAGAATCTAACCATAATATAGTGACATAGGACTTTATCACATGGGAGAAATCCCGTGCAGAAATGGGGTTTTAAAAAGAAGAAAACCTGCAAAAGCAGGTAGATTTTCAGATGTCGCTGTTAAAGTGTGGTTAAACCAAAAAGAAATTAGTCAACAGCTGCTTCTTTTTACTTTCGGAAAATCCCAAAAGTAAAAAGGAGCGGCTTTTGACTACGTTCTGTTCAGGTTAACTACATTTTAACAGCAATGTGTGTGAAAGTGAACCCGCTTTTGTGGGTTTCCCCCACCTTTTAAATCCCGTTTCTGCATGGGATTTCCCCATGTGATAAGGTCCATATATTTAGTTTTCCCAAAAGTATCTGTATGCTTATACATTTTTAAATAACTGAGATGATTTTTCAGAAGTTCCCAGTAAACACAGTGCTGATTGCTGTGTAATCATGATCTTTTAAGGAAACAACAACAAAACAGAGCAAAATTCAACACCTGAAATGATTTTTCAGAAATATGATGCTGAGAATGTGGGGTCTTTCTGACACATTTTGCAGCCTCATGCCAAAGAAGAAATTCTTGACTGCTTTGTAAGCAATGATTTCAATCTAATTTCAGCATCTTTCAGTTCAAAGGGACTGTTACAATAATAATCTCCAATTTAGTATGCAGTGGCTATAGACTTTCATCTACTTTGCCTAGAATTTGTGGGACCCAAAATTTCAGCTCTCTGTTCATATGAGATTATTCTTGTGAAAAGAGATAATTGCTAGTGTTTTTTCTCCCTCTTACTTTAATTATATATAACAGATCCTTCTACTGCCACACTTGATAGCATTATTCCATTTCATAACAGATTCAGCCACTTTAATTTTACTTCTCATCATTTCTTTTAAAAGAAGCAACCCTCCTTCCCTTTTAGTATTTACATTTCTCCAGTGATGTAGATTATTTCTATTCACAAACTATACACAGTGCTGGCTTTTAATCCAGCTGTGGTGTTCATAATCAAATGTGCTCTTGCATGAGGCATGTGATGTAGATGTACACTTGAATTTTGTCCCCCTACACAAAATATGTGCATATGTTAGCATATTTTAACTTTTTAAGGCCTATTTACAAAATGAATTAAGTTAGATTAGCCACACTTCAGGCATATCCAGGCTAGAAAATTAAATTGGTTTAACCAACATTCCTTCCTGAATGTTGCTTCCCTATAAGTAGTTAAGAAATTTCTGATAGCAAAATCTTACCAGTACATCTAATTACTGTTCTTAAAATACTGGTGGAGTGAGGTGGAAGCAATTACATAAAACTAATCTAAGGGGGAAAGCAGACGGGCGGCACAGCTTCGCCGCCCCTGGAAGGAGTGATAAAATAGCGCTCCTTCCACAAATCGTCGAAGGTGCACTGCAAAAGGCTCTTCCGCTGCAGTGTGTACGGATGCTGCAGCGGGAGGTCATCCTCGGAATGCCAGCTGTGCGGAGGGCCAGCTGCTCCAAGGACATTTTGGGAAAGGGGTTGGGGCGCCCAGCGTGTGGCTGCCCCTCCCCTTCTTTGGTGTGAAGATGGCACTTTGCGCTGTCTGCTTAGCCCCTAAGTTCTTAAGGCAATCAGAGTCCTAGACACAACTCCAGGTGCCAAGCTCTTCCTCACTTAAGAGGTCAATCAGAAGTTGAGATAAGTTAAAAAAGCAAAGCTGAGAATTTTTTTTCAAGACTGCTTCAGAACATGAGACATGGCTTAGGGAGGTTGGTAAATTTACCCTGGGGAAAAGAGGGTTAAGAGGTGACATGATAGCCATGTTTCAATATTTGAAGGGATTTCATATTAAGAAGACCAGTGTGGTGTAGTGGTTTGAGCACTGGACTAGGATTCTGGAGATCAGGGTTCAAAAACCTGCTGGTGACCTTGGGCAAGTCACACTCTCTCAGCCTCAGAGGATGGCAATGGCAAATGCCATCTGAAGAAACTTGCCAAGAAAACCCCAACAGGTTTACCTTAGGGTCACCATACATCAGAAAAAAACTTGAAGGCACACAACAGCAACAACATGTTGAGGATGGAGCAAGCTTCTTTTCTGCTGCTGCAGAGACTAGGACATGCAGCAATGTATTCAAGCTACAGAAAAAGAGATTCCACCTCAACATTAGTTGGATCCAAAGGATTATATCGACTCACCTTTCACACCTACATATGCAGTAGCCACTCCCAATTCACAGGGATCCATTCTGGACCCCCCCCTCCAAAAATGGCAGCTCGCAAATATTCGAGCCCCATTGAAAATAATGGTGTGCACGCTGCCATTATATCCCTCCCAAAAAGAGTGGGACTGCAGACTCGAAGTCCACGAATAGGGAGGGACAACTGTAATCTAATACATCCACTTACAGTCAAAACATAATATGCTTCTTATCTTACAGATTCGATTATTCTCTATACTAATTTGTAATCCTTTAAATTTACTTTTTAAATTATTAAAAAACTTCTACAAATATTTAAGTTACTTTTTTCTTACTTTTAGTCAAACATTGTTATTTTTGTTAATCTACTTTCTATATATCTATCTTTTTTGCTAGTCTAAACTCTTCACATTAGGAAGAACCTCCTGACAGTAAGAGCTGTTTGACAGTGAAAAACACTCCCTCGGAGGGTGGTAGTGTCTCCTTCTATGGAGGTTTTTAACAGAGGCTGGATGGTTAACTGTTGGGAGTGCTTCAATTGTGTCTTCCTGCATGGAGGGAGGTTGGACTGGATGGCCCTTGGGATCTCTTCCAACTCTATGTTCTATGAAAACCATGGATAGTAACATAATGAGAAAAAGTATTACTGAGGCCAACCAGTAAAAATGCACAAAACAGGGTAGAAGGGATTGTTTAAATAACTGTTTCTATTGTAAAGTTTAAACTTAAGTTAAACATTTTAAGTTAATAATAGCAGTGCAGTGGTGCTGTGTGTGGCCTTCTGTGGACCCAGAAAAGGCCTGCACATGGGCAGTCTTCAGATCTCTGGGAGCTACCTATCCCTGACAACCAATGACAAGGTTGTTCCCATTTCTGAAATCCTCTTCTCCCCTGGGAGGCTCAGCTGGTCCTTACATTGTTTATCAGTCTGTTGTTGGCCAACCATATCTTTCAGGCTTTAATAATTTCAGTTACTTTTACCACTTGCTACAGTTTTCATCAGAATTCTGGTTTGATATTTTGTATTATTGTTTCAATTTAATGTTAGCTCATCTAGAGTCGTTTCCAACTTGTGATGACCCTAAGGTGAATCTATCGCGGGGCTTCTTGGCATGTTTTTCGTTTTCTCAGGATGGCAATTACAGCAGAATAAACCTATCTTGGGGAATAAAGCTAGAAACGAAAAGAACCAGGCCTTGTTCTTTTCAGGATGGCAGCATCCAGCCATGATGTGTATCTGAGACTGAGCTAGCACTGATATAACAACAGAGCTTGCTCTGCCTCGACTGGCCTCTCACCAACCAACATGGCTATCTGCCATCCACTGCCCTGTGGGATAATATTAGGATGAGGAGGCAGACAAGGAGGGCAACAGGGCTCACCAGTTGGACATTCTTTCTTTACCCTACAAACATTGCCTGCCCAGGAGAAACAGAGGGAGGGAGGTGGACAAACACGTTTGGTATCTGTTCCTGTTCCAGCAAGACTTCCCTTACCCTACTTAGACTCATCTACTACTATCTGCCTTGTGGAAAGGAACCTGGTGGCTTTTTATGTTATTATCATTCACTGTGATTTTATGTATTTATTTTGATGTTATTTATGGGCTACCCTGGAATGATTTATATTCTGAACAACTGGAATAAATTAATAAATAATATAATATAAACAACAGGAATAAATTAATAAATATAGCGAACACCATGGATATGAACATGGTTGGCGCATAATGAAACTTCAGATCATTTTCATACTTTTAGCTACCAATTATAAAGTGAAGAGAAACTAAGTAATGAGCTTCCATTGGTAAATAGGCAAATAGTTTGGCCAATGACACAGTAGGTAGCTTTGGGTAAAAAAAAATTTGCCTGAGGCTTAGCTTTTGTTGATTAAGCTAGACCAGGGACAGGCAACCTTTTTGAGAACTGGGCCGGTCTCCCGTAGCCCAGTCTTGGCTGGGCCGAGAGGGGGGGGATGGTGGTGCGTGCGCTTACGTGCGCGCACGCACCCTCCTCCGCCACGCGCGACCCCCCTGCGCACGCGGCCGCCACCGCAGCCGTTGCAGTCCAAATCGCGGCTGCGACGCGTTTGCACATGCGCAACAGTACTGTGCATGCGCAAATGCGTTGCGACTGCCATTTTGATTTCCAAAATGGCGATCGCAGCAAGCATGGCCAAAACACGCTCTGACGGCGGCGTGCGGCAGCGGCAGTGACAACCTTCGGCCTGGGCCGGCCCCCAGGCCGTAGGTTGCCGGTCCCTGAGCTAGACTATCAGAGACTCGGCTTGCAGAATGGTGGTAAAGACAATGAAACAAAGGAATGTTCATGGTCATAAATGAATAATGATAAGAAAAAATCTGTTTATCTTTCCAAGGCAGTATACATTTCTGGAACAAAGCAGTATTTTCATGCTATCTGATGTGGGGCACAAGCAACCTCCTCTGCCAGTGTACCAGGGACCGGTACATATTGTGCTCAGTAGCCACAACTGTTTCTTTCTTACCTGGAAATTTTATGATTTAAAACGAATTGCTGATCAGGTTATATGTCTGTTGTTCCCACTTGAAACTGGTTCTGGACTGACTGCACTCGGTTTCAATCGTGATGAAGCAATCGTAAAAGAACCATTTTTTCCTGACACTAGTTTTTTGGTGGTTCATGTTCAGCAAGTGGGAACAAAGAACTTGAATCACATCAAACTGAAGGGGAGAGATTAATGTGGCAGAAGGTTGGCACACCCCTCACCATTTTTTGGAGAAAGCTGCCATTTTCCCCCTCCCCTTTCCCAGCATCCATCCTACATCCCAACCTTCTGTCCAAGAGGAATTCCAAAATGCCCTCCATTCTGAGTTTGACTAGGATCTCCCAAGTCTGGAAGGCTGGGAGGGCACCACCTCAACTCCCCATGTCCTCCAGGTCCTGCAAGGCTGGGTGGGCAGTACCTCACCTAGGGGAGAGTCCTCCATATGACACCCATGGCTGATGCATCCCAGGGGAGAGTCCTCCATATTACACCAAAAACTAGTGAGGGATGGGATTCTGGTCATGGCACCCATGACTCACTCCCGTGTTTTCTTGAATGTGTTGCTGGTTGTGTCACTGATGATGCGTAGATGATTGACAGGCATTTTGAAGGGGCACAAACTAGGGGGAACGACAATCATGCCAAAAAAGAAAGGAATAAAGAAAAGACCCGCTTCCATAGTGGGAACGACGCATTGACTGGAATCAATTCACCAACCCTGAGGGAAAGAGAATCGCAAACCGGGTTAAATGTAAGTGGGTATGAGCCCATTGATTGACAGCTTGGGGACCAGCACTGTTCCATGGCCCAGCATTTTGAGAAGCACTGGACCAGAACTTGATCTAACATTCTAGCATGATCTCAAATAGACTACATGAATTTTGCCAGCCAAAGTAGACTGAATGACTGAACATGAGGAAAATTCCCTTGCTGCATAGAATAAATGTGAGAGCTCTAGATCAAACTCAAGAGGGTGGAAACAACAGTGCTGGTGGCAATCTAGGGGCTGCACAGTCCTTGCTGAGTTGTTCTAAAATTGTTTCTTTTGCTTCTTTCTTAGACTTCAGCTGATCTTTTTGGGTAAGATCTCTTATGCTTATGAGGCCAATCCTTGAGATGGCAGTGTAAGAATGCACATAAAAGAGGAGGGATGGGGTAATCACCAAAATCTCTGCACTTCACAAAGTTCTGAGAGGATCTCCATGTAGGAACTATATGCGTGTGATAATCAGAGATCATGGCAAAGAAGCCAAGTTCATACACAAGGGTTTACTTAATGAAAATAACCTACTATTGAATGTTTCTTACTACAGACACAACAGTCTGTCTAATTAAATAGAATCATCTACTTCCTCTCCATCTCCTTTCATGGCAGTGTTCTAAATGCATTCATTCAGAATATGAGAAGCATGAACAAGTACAAAAACTGACTTGTTTTTCAGTGAGCTATGCTCAGTCCTCTTTGTCTAAAGCAGGGATGGGACTCTCCAGATACTGCTGAACTGCAGCTCCCAGCAGCTCTGGTCAGCACAGCCAAAAGTGAGGAATGTTGGAAGCTGCAGTCCAGCAATTTCTGGAGGGGTAAATTACTCACACATCCCAGTAGTAAGAAACAACCTCAAACCTATGTGGAACCTCATTTTGTGATTTATAGTTGGGAAGGGGGAAGCAGAGGGTCAGCACCACTTTTTCTGCACAGCCAGCATCATCTTCTCAAGTCCCATGTAGTTTTCATGGGCTGGTTGCAGAACTGGCATAGTTGGTTAGGAGGCAGGCTCTTCCAAGCATACCTGCAGGCTTCACTCAGATCTGCCTGAGGAGTATGCTATCCCAGCCTAAGTCAAGTTCCAGTCTCCCTCCCTCCCTTTATGTGATTTACCTCATATTTACTGTTTACTCACCTGTGTCAACTTTGGAGTCCTGGTGGCGCAGTGGTTAAATGCCTGTACTGCAGCCACTCACTCATAGACCACAAGGCTGCAGTACAGGCATTTAACCACTGCGCCACCAGGGCTACCACAATACTAGCCAGGACTCAGGCTTGACTCAGGCCTGCATCCTTCCGAGGTCACTAAAATGAGTACCCAGCTGTTGGGGGGCATTGAGCTTAGAGTTGTAAACCACTTAGACATCTCATAGCGCGATATGAAGCAGTATATAAATGAAGCTGCTTTGCTTTGCTTTGGCAGTTTTGTATGG